CACACACACACACACACACACACACACACACACACACACACACACACACACACACACACACACACACACACACACACACACACACACACACACACACACACACACACACACACACACACACACACACACACACACACGCACACACACACACACACACACACACACACACACACACACACACACTTTGATGGGAATGACAACGTCGTGTGGGTAACTGTGATATCGTCATATGCTACGCGTTCCTACTGCCATTGTGTATATCCTATTGTATATAATCTTGATATAATCTTTCATAACCAGCTAACAGCGACGCCAGCGCTCAATGCGGCTCCAACCCTCCACACGCCATCAGTCCACTACAACCCCACCGCTACATCTACGTTGAAAGCTCACACTATTACCTGCTGGTATAGATGTATATATTCCTCGTCGCGGATGCCACCTTCGAATGTCATCATTATCATCTGCGGCGTGTCGGAGAGTTGCAGACTTCCGGGGATGGATGCGTCGTTACCACAGCGACAATCCGGCAGCTGACACTGATCAGGGTCGCAGGGGGGCGCTGCTGTCGCGTCTATCATGAACGCGTGCGTGATAAATACCAGGAATCGAGGATAAACAGCTAAAATCCTGCGTCTGCCTTCTAATGCGTCGCATTTAGCTTTTTGGTGCATTTTAACCTGAATGAAGGGGGGAACAAAATGGTTGTCGTCTCAGGCAGACCAGGGATTATGCATCTAACGTACACGACCTACTCCCGAATATAGCCATTATGTACAACCGACGAGTGTATCATTGTGTGCTCTGCTCTATATGTATACATATAGGATTTTGTTAGCCAATCGTTTCTGCAATTAGGTGTGCGATGCCTGAGTGGAACTGTTAGGAACGGGGACACTGGACACTGGTCAGTATTTATGTAATTAACGCGGTCTTCAAATGACCCGTAGGCGTGACTAGATCGCAGTGGAATGTTCTAATAATGTAACCCGGTGGCATCTACTATGATAATTATCGTGAAAAACTGTTTCGTGAAATACAAACTTACGTTTCATGAATTTAAATACATTCGAAAATTTGATTTTGTGATCAATGTTATCGTGGAAATCAGATTGTTTTCTTATCCTTATAATAAAAAGGCGATTCTATCGTAGAAAACATTTCCTAATAGCTCTTCCTATTTTGTTGTTTATTATGGTCATCAAGACAGCAGGTTTAATAACTTGCTAATCTCCCTCAGGTCGAGGTACCTGAGGTTTAGAGCGCGTTTATGTATCTGTACATTTAGGTAATCTGCGCGACCTACCTGTAGGTAGGCCAACCTGGTTAGCCTACCTGTGCATACCTAAATATAGAAACTATAACTACATACATAAACTAAACGTTAGCCCGCGTAATACACACATGGTACATTTATGCGCATAGTAATTAACACACGTACACTAACACATGGTGAATAAGTAAACATTGGTATGCACATGGCAATTAACACACTTACATTAACACATGGTGCGTAGAAGGTGGAGGTGAGGGTAAGGAGGGTAGATGATGTGCGAGTAGCTATTTTAACTATTTTTCTCACCGGTCCGTTAATTTATATTAGTGCATACCAGCCTGTTCTGCTAGCATCTATGACAAATACGACATACGCATATACGCTCTCCTATGACACTATTTGTCATGGGAAGATTCTTCCTATGACAAATACGACATACGCATATACGCTCTCCTATGACACTATTTGTCATAGGAAGATTCTTCCTATGACAAATTCTGTTGTATGTGTTGTGCGCATCATGGGAGTTTAGGAGCGCTGTTATGAACGCAAGCAGTGAATTTCAGCTGTAAAGCGGAACGAAGTTGACTCGCTAATATTTGTTATAGGAAGAATCTCCCTATGACAAATAGTGCCATAGGAGAGCGTATATGCGTATGTCGTATTTGTCATAAATGCTAGCAGAACATGTTATGCCTACCGTTAGAGTGGTTGCGGGAGATGTGGCCACACTCGTCATTGCGCGCCACGTCCGGTGTTTCACAGCGACCGACGCGAGGTCCGATGGGAGTCCAGATAGTTCCCGCAGGACATGTACGTTTCACTGGCCATCCATGCACACACTGCGCGAATAATTACCAGTCATGTTTGAGCTAATAATGAGAGAGAGAGAGCGCGAGAGAGAGAGAGATACGAGAGAAGGAGAGAGCGATCGAGAGCGAGAGAGAGAAAGAGAAGGGGAGAGAGAGAGACAGAGAACGAGAAAGAGATAGAGAAAAAGCGAGAGAGCGAGAGAGAGGGGGCGCGAGAAAGAGAGAGAGAGAGAGAGGGAGAGAGAGAGCGCGCGAGAGAGAGAGTGAGAGGAAGAGAGAGAGAGAGAGTGAGAGGAAGAGTGAGAGTACAAAAACATAGTTAACTACGATAATAATTAAAGTGTATATTCTCCGGGGTTATATTTTGGTTGTGGGTTCTATTAGAATCGGGCAGAAATAATATTGTTAGTGAAAACTTTGCGTGCGTGTAAGTGTGGTAACTGGAACCAGACAAGCAAACATATATGATCTTGATATGATTCATGGCTAATAGTAGTTTTAGTTCACACCGTTATCGTACTTACACACGAATTCGACCATATAGCGAGTGAAGTGAAACGAATCTAATAGAGGCTATAGTAATATCACACCCGGCTACGTGTGTCCGTTACTCATCATGGTCTAAACGCATCCAAGCTGTCTATAGCATTAGGTGCGAATCAACATACACTTGAACCAGATATCGGGTATAAGCTTTACAAATAATATACAATGCAAAAGTATTACAATCGCTAGTTATACGCGCCTGCCTCTCCTTTCAGTATAGACACGTGGAGAGGTAAATGAACCAATCGTCACGTTTTTTACCCGTACTAAGCTGTGTGCTCACGGCCTGGATGCAGCTTTGTGTGTGTGCGTGTGTGTACACATGAACTAGAGCGACCAAGGTATTGAAAAAATGCACCGCGTCAGTCCAAGGTTGTCGGTGTCTTGGTATCCCGTCAGCGATCACGCAGGTACAAATAAAGATGACGAGATGTCATGTAAAGCTTGCGCGAGAGAAAGCGCCCTTTATTTTCGACAGAAACCGCACCACACTCGTCTCTCCATTTTGAGGTTTCATCAACAAAAGCATATTTATCGGAAAAGAAATATGTAGTAATCTAGGAAATAGTTTCATTCCGAATCCGTGTGAGCATGAGGATATTTATTATATACACGTAGAGAATGTTATTGTAAAATGTTTTTATGATGTCACTTGCACTGCAGTTGCAACTAAAGAGAGAGAAAAAAAGCTGAATGACCAACGGCCAATGACGCTGAATGACCTAATCTTATACATATGCGGCGACCAACGGCTACGAGTTCTATCACGTACAAGGGTTTACGATTCGAGACTGTAAAAATTTCATCTATAATCTAACGTAGAAACGAATACTATTACAAATATTGGTGCAATTTCTATCGGATGATATATTTCGCACAGAACAAGACGAACAAACTATAGGACTCTTTTCAGATAATCAACGTGAAAACTTTTCACTGTTTACTATATAAAGAAACTCATCTGAACTCTCACTTCTGAACCAGCAATATTCGCAGAGGATATACTATATACCTGATATTAGACTATATTCTTACCTGATATTAGACTATATTCTTACCTGATATTAGACTATATTCTTACCTGATATTAGACTATATTCTTACCTGATATTAGACTATATTCTTACCTGATAGTAGACAGAACAGTTGTCCGGATCAGCGGCGAACGATGCATTGCCAGCGTTCGGGTCGCACGCTTCCTCTGCTGATAGCGGCACCCAATCTATGCCGGCTCTCTTCTCTCGCTTTCCCGAAACTGAAATTGGCACTACTATGACGATTCCATGTTGTGCACTTATATAGTGTGCCATTGTAGACGTATCGACGTCCCCCGGTATACAATAAAACTTTTAGTTTATAAAATAAATCCTGAAAATGGGATGCTTTCTCCAGAATGTAAACGCACACGGTCTATTAAACGCGATGTTAAATAATAGGGAGTGTAGTTTTGACGTTATGTAACACCTGGTTGCAGTGATAACGCGAACAGATTGTTAACAGGTGAATGTCGACCAAGATTTACGTAAACTTCGCACACTGCTGTCTCATCCGCTGAAAATATCGCAAAGCTTTGCCAGCTTCCTATCCTATGTCGATAATGTTGTCCAGCGCATTCGCAACTAGAATGCGAAGCACGGAAGACTTCAAAAACTATTCGCTATATATTTTTTTGCAACACAGAAATTTTCTCACCTGCACTGAGGTAGAATAACAAACACACGCACACCGTGACGATTCTCTTATCCAGTGGAAAGCGAGAGCGGTTCATGGCGGCTCGGCTTACTGTTATCACTCCAGTTCTACTCATAGAATGTGCATCCATGATTGTTCTCACATTTATATATACGCGTGTGCAGTCACAGGACCGCGAAACCTACATACGTAGGCAATTGCCTTGTTCAGGGCTTGCCCTACGATTTGTCTACCTATTGTGGGCGTATTCCTGCCTATTCGAGCCACCGTCTCAATTCCGCTCTCATTTGCGTAGTAAAAATAGATCCCTTCCACACACTTTCAATCAAATTTCGTCTATTTGTACGCGAAATAAGCTAATCCTTTATGCAGACGAGCCGTCTATGGGCATAATTACGCGTATCTCTCACGGTCCACTTGCAGCCTCTTTACGCTGGTTGGATCCGCACTGTGGCGGCTGCGTTTTGGCGCAGCGGTCGCCTCAACTTTCGCTTTTCTTCTGACATTGTCCCATTGTGACGTCGCCGCAGCGTGCCGCTATGCCATGCTTTTTATTTCCGCGCATTCTTTTGATGTGTTCGGCGGATCTGCCATCCGCGACGATGGATGCTAGATGCGAAATGATAGGTTTTGGCGATAATGGATCATTTTACGAATAACGAGATTACCATCTGTAGATCACAATGAAACTACTAACTTTGTAAATTGTAACACAGTTAAGTATGCAGACCTTGGCATAAAGCCGCTGTAGTGTTTCCGTGAAAGGTTTTGGCCACCGCCGTGTAAGCAGCAGAGAACGGGATTTGGGGAATTAGTAACGGCAAAGAAAATGTTTTGCCAGCGTTTGTTTGAATATACATGCTTTCATCCATGCGTGACAAATCTGATTGATGCACTACTTTTCTGGTTAGGAAAAACAATTTACTCCTTTATTTCAATATTTGCAAAAGGTAATGTTATGTTCTTGACCAGTATTCTAGTACTGTCAGTGTGTGTGTGTGTGTGTGTGTGTGTGTGTGTGTGTGTGTGCATTTGTTCAATACCCCGGCCACCAAGAAATGGTTGGCGGCATCAACAATCTGGATTCTGGGCGAATTTATGCGCATATTTACTAATAAAATCTATTAAAAGTAACGAAATTGCTCAACAAAATTAGCGCTGTTAAAACGCTTTGAATGATTCACACCTGCTGTAATAAATAGTTGTATTAGAGGAATTATTTTATTTATATTATACGGGTGATTTAGGTGAAATCCCTGATTATTGTTTTGATTATCGATGAAGTGATCGATGGAACCAAACGTATTTAAAATTCACTTGTCTAGCTCGCTTACAAAAATTTATGTAAAGATGATATAGATAAAAATATTATCCAAGCTGAGAAGATGCTAAACTTTATAATTCGTTATTTCTTTATAAAATAAAGACCACGCACAATACTTTTATCATATATTCAAAATACGCCTCTATAACTTGCTCGGATCTGACAACCTGACCATACCCATCCGCCACGCACCAGTAAGCTATCATTAACGCTTCCGCCAAGGAGAGAGGCAGCGGTGTGCATCACAAATTGCTTAAGATTGCGCGCACACGCTGGAAGACAGCCTTCGATGACAGACAGGTGCCAGAGAAACCGTTGTGGGTTTTGACAGCGACGCGAGCACCGCAGCCGTTATTCACCCGTTGTTCACCCTGTTCTCTGCTCGAATCAATTGCCGCGCCGTTCCCGTCACTTGCGTCCGTCGTCCTGTCCGAGGTCGTCAGGGAGGGTCATAAAACATGACGACGAGCTAGCAGCGTCTACCGGCTCTAATGACGGCAGTGAAGCGTCCCCACGCGCGACAATACTCACGGGAACACGTGTCAATCGTCCCCTCCTCCCACGCCCGCCGCACGACCCTGACACAGAATACGGCACCCGTCCGTCCCACTCAGTGTTTCTCCCGTATAACCGTGGCACAGGACGTTAAAATCATCGTAAACTACCTGATGATGGTCGCTGGTGAAAGTGTTGAGCTGCTCGTAAAAAAATACCCGATGCGCGCCAATAGTAGATGTATGTAGACTAGTGAAACGAGGATTCGCTGCGTGCGTGCGTGCGTGCGTGCGTGCGTGCGTGCGTTCGTGAGTGTGTGTATCTGCAATTGATCGATCGTTCTACATCGTATTAGCTCATACGTTAAACCACTGCTTTCAACCTTACTATGATCTCAATTCAACAGTGGGTGCTACGTAGCAAGAAACCGTTTCAAACCTATCATACACGCACACACACAAAAATACCAAGAGCAGATCAATGTTGATGAGTTTTCTTAGATACATCATTCAACTACTTACACCACGTAAAATTATATTATAAAATCCATTTGAAGCAAGTTTCACACGAAAAAGTACTGCCTATAGGCTAATAAACTAGCATATTGTAACGCAATGCTGACATGTAATCAAGACCAAGTCTTCTAAACTCTCACATACTAAATTTCCTAATCCACACACATCGAGGACTTTCTGCTGGACTCAATAAGAACTATTTAGTATTTACCATCAATAACAACACAGAGCCTGATCCGTAATACGCAATTCTACAGCAGCACTATAACAAGCAGCATGGTAGGAAGGAAGGGAGAGGGAAGAATGCGGGAGGGAATGTGTGAACGGTGATAGCGTGATGGAGATGGTAGGAGGTCGATGAAGGGCAGTAAAGGTATGTATATATAGTATAGGCAAAGAGAATGAACGTGGTAAAGGTATGTAGAAATTAATTACTGAGAATAACACGTGTGAGCTTACACAAGTAATATCTGGTATCTACAGCGATATTGTCGATAGTTGCCTGTTTTAGAAAAAAACATAAATCAAGCAACATATATAACGTGTCAACAGTTCCATCAAAATTAAATATAGCCACCAATGCTATGAAAGTATACAGCATACCGTACTTGCAATTTTACTTCATCTCCTACTTCCAGAAGTAAATAATATCACAATTTGTGATTATTTGCTCCTGCTACTTCATATATTACTGTAACAACGTAACAATTGTGGCAACATATCACGCATTTCACAGTCTCACAAACAATAAAATCCAACGAATCACTACACAGAGCACGTAAACTAAATAACGCCTTGAAAAATGTCAGCACATCACAAAACCTAGTCGTTTCTCACTGTACGAGGTTTTGCCAGAGACAAATACACATTTTTATAACCACAACATCAGGCGACATTAAATCACAGACATAAATATACTAAAAGCATACATTTATCTGGGATCAAACAGATACAGATTATGTAGTAGAAAACGTGTTACCCAGGTAATTTTGAAAAAGCAACTAAACCATACCAATGGCACTAATTTGTAATCTAGTTAAGTTATAATAATATTTATAACAATTTGTTTATTCTAATAACTTTAGATATATTTACAATACTGCAGCATTCGGAGCATTCAGTAAAACCAGACAGAAAACAGTATTTATAGCATCTGGTCTAACAGGAAATATGCCTCATGATATATAGCCACCAGTGCAACCACGCAGAACACGGTATTCCTCTATTATGACTGAAACAGTAAGGACTGTAGAAGCCCAAACACACGTATCTTTGGGGGGGTCATGTGGCTTGCCGCCGACAGCACTAATGTCTAACCCTACACTTCACCCAATTACTCTTCATAGTTTAGGCTGAAAAGGTCATACATGAAACAGATATCATAACATAATGTCCATACAGCTACACTCCCACACACGCCCACACAAGCATGCACATACACACACACACACACGCACGCACGCACGCACGCACGCACACACACGCACACCCACGTGCACCCATGCACACCACACATGCATGCCCACTACCAGTATGGATTACTTAATTAATGCTATTTCGTGGGCAATACTAGTCAAGCAGATATTCTATGGGATATCACCACGCTACCAGTCTATGCATGCTCCCATCCCAAACATATCTCATTGATTAGAGTGGGGGAAATATTCGGCAGGGACGCAGGGCTACTACACACATAGCTTCAGGTGTATGGCAGAGAAAAGTTTAAAGCAGTAAAATTCAGAGCCATGACTCATTTTTAGCATAAGTGAATACAATAAATGTAGAGGTGGAAATCAACTCCATTGAATGAGAAAGCAGATGACAACTACACTTGCAGCAAATACACTTGTGATCAATGATCATGGGCTGTTCCAATATCCCTTGTCTATGTCTCTTCTGGTACACTGCGCTGAATATTCTTGTTCACCTAAGTTAGTATTTAAACACATTATCGTGTGATTTCTAAGCAAAGACATCTTAGTTCCGCCAGAAATATTGGCTAGCCAAGACAGTTCTCTATAGACATTACGTTCCCCTTCTACGTTGGATTCTTTCAATAGCTTCTAGCTTACACCACTCACCACATCATAACCGATTCCAAACCTCCATCTAACCTCAACTATATAATGATTTGTCACAGTAAACATATTTTGACAGGTCACGCCTGAAGAGCGATCAACCCTGGGAGAAACTACCGCCTCAGGAAACTATCAAATAAAATTATAATTAAAATCTGTGTAATGCTGTGCAATTACACTGTTAACTGCTAAGAGACAAAATAGTTATGTTTTTTCCATCAGCTGTACAGTGAAATCCTGGAAGAAGTAATCAGATTCTCACTTCATCATAAATATAAGTCATAGCCATACATCAACTACGTGAAACAGCCGAGGGAATGAAAGACAGTGACAGCATCCGCTGAAGCTGGCCACAGTAACATCAACATGCACATGCAGCGCCATCTAGTGGAAATAAATGTCTCTTTCGTAAATTTTGTTCCAGTGGCAATTTCCTAAAAAGCAACATGTGCCAAATAAGAACGGCAAACACCTTCTATTCAGCCAGTTACTTCAGTAGAGTCTTAGAATGGAGAGTAAAATGTGATGAATGCTTACAGGGAAAATAAGATTACGTGTAAGGCGACCAAACTCAAGTCAAAGCAATGGATAATAGGACAATATTGTCCAGATAAATAGAAGTGAAGAGTTTTTAATAATACGTATAGACATGGCAACTGCACTGGTTTGTAAACGAACTATGAGCAGTGCATCAAGTAACAGTCATAACTCTTCGTGGATCAGATAGCTTAGATTTGGCCCCATCGACAAATGCATTCACCCTGAACAACCTGGCCTCGATCCCGACACGAATCCAATCTCGCTCCTCACACACTCACACTCGCTCCCCGTGTTCTCCTCTGGTTGTTCTCCTGCATGCAGGGCTGCTGTGATATTTCGATTGACGACACGTCTGCTGTCACAACATCGAGTGACAGACGCTAGCAGCATTTCTGTTTCGACTTCTTGCTCTTTCCTCCTGCTCCTAGCCGTAGAGCATCCTTGGATGGGTTTTGTGCAGCGTGAGCAAGTTGCTCCTTCTTCACACTCAGTACCAATCTCGTGATGGCATTGAACATCTGTCAGCAGGAGAAGAATACACGCGATCATCAATCGAACGAGTGAAAAACATACATTCACAGCAAATGATGCGAGTAATAGTGCATCACATGGATAAAGTGTTCTGTATCACGCACGCCACTTTGGAAGGGTGAACTTTATGTATACCGCAACACTGCGTTTGATAGGAACAAAAACAGACCACCGACAAAAACTGCAGTAAATGTCGTATACTTACATCTTCTACATTAATATTTTCCTTCGCACTAGATTCAAACAGTTGGATCCCCATCTGATCAGCAAACCTATTCGCATCTTCAGTCAAGACGACTTTATTGTGTGGGTCATCGCATTTGTTACCAACTGCCAAAAAATATAATAATTTATACCATATTATTTCCCATATTAACACTTACACAATATACTAGATCATTAAATAAATTTCTTTCAGGAATTACAATAATAAATACTATGACGTTGAAAGGGGTTAATAGTGGCCTGCTAAATACTTTACCCTCCATATGAAACTTTGATAAGGCACGTACCTAGCACCCGGCATACGTTGTCACAGTTCTGGTCTATCTCATGCAGCCACCGTTTCACATTCGCAAAAGAATCTCCACTGCAAACATCGTACACAACCACCACACCGTGAGTTCCTCTGTAGTACCTGAAACAAATGAGAAATCACTCACTGTAATGCCACCTCTATAACTCACCGGTCTGTCATATCACGAGTGACCACGGGTAGTGATAATTCAGGTATTACAGCACTAAGTCACTGCCAGCAGAGGAAAAAAGGACATCAATCAGAATAACGAATGAAGCGGACATACGTAGAAGTAATCGTGCGGAAACGTTCCTGGCCAGCAGTGTCCCAGATTTGAAGTTTCACCTTCTCGCCATCGATATCAACTGTGCGTATCTTAAAATCGACGCCTATCGTTGTGATGAAGTTGCCTAGAAATAAGAAAGCATTCGTAACAGAGCGTTAATGTTTTGTATTGCATTTTATTTTACATAATTAGGCATCTAATACGCTATACACAACCATCATGCTAACCTTTGCTGTTCTACAACAAGAGGAAATAAAATAATTTCACATACACAGGTTCGACCTTAGTAATCCAGCATCCTCGGGACCAGGCCCATGCTAGACCACTAAAAATTCCTAACCACTGAAGCTCAAGTGAATAACACCTAAAATAACAATAATGCTCGACTTCCGATATGCCATACTGAAGGGTAAATAATAGCCAGAAATAAGCACAGCCCACTGGGAGTGACGATCGCACATGAAGGTAGAATTTGCATCTGCTTACCTGTGAAAACGTCGTCTGAAAACCGTAGAAGTAGGCTGCTCTTTCCTACGCCTACAAGAGACATTAAAAAATTACACAGACATTACAATGTGAAGCCTCTAACATTTAGCTAAGTGACTTAAAAGTACACCGGTCCCTCATTATAATGATGTGATAACGATAATTGGGGTCTAAAGGTTCGGCCACGTAACATTCTGGGTCACATTATAGCAGGCTAAGTTTTAGTGAAGAAATAAAGAGAGAAAAGACGAAAAAGTCCAAGTGACGATCGCGTAATAATCATGCAACACCTCATTACAGTGGAGTGCGTTACTGAGCAGGATTCTACTGTACAAAATCCTGATATTCAATATGAAAGAAATTTAGATATAATCCAAGTAGTGACAATACGTAAAATGCACTTAGTATACAGGACTCCGACAATGGTTTCTGGACCAAGTTTATCTGGCGGTGGGCAAATTTGCACCTTAATTGGGGACCCTGCAAATGTACTTTCGCAAATGTGTGTAATTAATCTCGGTGCTACACTAGGATAGGGCTTGTAACTTGAACTTCAAGTTGAATTTGAATAGACAGATAGGGATCATACACAGTAGTCCGAGTAGAATTGGAATATGACTATGGCATGTACTAACACTAACAGTATCAAAACATATAAAACGCTTAGGTTAGATAGATGTTTGGATAGAGTGTTACAGGAGACACAAACCCACTATGTACTACATGTATTACTTAGTAATGTAGTATTACTAAGTCCACTATAAAATTCATGATCTTGCATAGCTCCAAGAAACGGTTTTTGATAGGGTTAGAAGACCGTTTCAAATGCTTGCTCATAAAAACTTATAGTTGGCTCGGTATCCAAACATCGCCACAGCTAGCATCACATGTAATAGCTCAAACGAATCTATAAACCTCTGGCTTGCTCGCGGTAACTGGGCGCTACTTATTTATCGAGTTATGCCGTATTTTCTGAGATGAATTGGATGAAAACAACCAGACAGCCGCCATGTCCGCCATGTTCGGTGCAACTAAAATCGGCAATGGACCTGGTTTTCAATGTTTTAATATTTATATATATACGAGTATATTATGCTTATTTATGCTCGCGCCAACGCGAGTTGCAACGCTATGGTATGTTATGTTGTTTCGGATTTTCCGCGTTCCAATCGAAACGCATGCGCAGTGGAAACATGGCGGTTGGCGGTTAAAGTGAAATTTAGGTTCGGCGCTTGAAATTTACACTGTGCACAGCGAACTGAGGTATTATTAGTTTGAATAACAACGCTGGAATACTATAAGGTGAAGGTTATACTTGATACGAAACAAGGCAGAAATGCTTAGATTAATATTTTATTTGAGATATACGCCTCCTACGAAATTTACTAAAGCCTAGGACACACTAGCGATTCTGTACGCTGCCCGGCAGCGTATATGTTCGCTCACGATTTTAGAACGCCGTAAGCCTAGGACACACTAGCGATTCTGTACGCTGCCCGGCAGCGTATATGTTCGCTCACGATTTTAGAACGCCGTACGAGTTGCGCGTACAGCTGGACACACTGTACGGTGTCCAACCACTCCCACGGCTTTCCTAGCTTTCGTTGCTACACTTGATTGGCTGCTAAAAACAATTGCGTTCGAACACGATGATTCATTGTTGGGCGCGCTGGCGCTAGCTGGTGCAAGCGCATGCAAGCGCATGCGCTGTACGCAAGCGATGGAAAACCGCGCGTAAATATTCAACATGTTGAATGCGAGCGATCAGCCGGGCGTATGCGATCGCGAGCGAAATACGCAGCCGTGAGACCGGACACACCGCGCGGACCCGGCACCGTATTTATCGATCGCAAGCGGCCAGCGTAGAAAATCGCGCAGTGTGTCTTAGGCTTTAGTGATACTAATATTCCCATTATATTATTAATGTATATTGTAATGCGTGAATAAACATTTTTGAATTGAATTGAATTGAATTGATATACGTAATTGTTCGGCAGTTTTTGTAGAAGTACAAGATTATCCAATGGATGGATGTCAAGCTGTGTATATTGACGTTAGTCACACAGCCTGGCCGGGCTAGATCGTAGCATTAGGCCTATTCTTGCATTGAAATACTTGCTAAGTAAATTTGTAATTTAGTTGGTAAGATCATATGCATGCAAAAATTCTACGTTTGGAAACCTGACGAACACACATACCACTATCGCCTATAATTAATAATTTAAACAAATGATCGTATTCTCTGGCCATATCTTTAGTGACTTAGTGGCCTAAAATGAACTTTCATCACCAAATCATCAAAACAGGAAACGCCTGCACCACTGCCCTCCGTGTTACAGAAAGGAAGTTAATAAAGTTACTACACGCGGTTTCGTTGGCTGCCTAGGCACGCCATTTGTAACGTGCAATATGATTGGGCGCATAGGGGCAATGAGAAGAATATGTCTGTACATGTATGATTACTGTTTAGATTTTACTTTTACTAGTTTTAATAATTCAAATGTATGCAGTATAAAATTATATGTTAATATGAACGTTATACGCAGATCGCTTTGTAAATCCCGCCAGATAAAAGTGCATTATCTACTTCAAAGATTGTACTGCACAGATGACTTAGAAGGGTTAGTAGCACAGTAGGCCTACACCATTGCCATTGGCATTGCCAAGAATCTTGGCAATGCAACCAATGCAACTGCAAGGTGACCGTGAATTTGAAGTGATGAACTAATGAAATGTTGTATTCATGTACTTAATCTGGAGTTATAATGTTTCATTTGTTGTTAATATTTGTTAACACAACAAGGCATTTTACAGAGGTGTTCCGCTATCCTTTTGGAGCTTTGAGCCAGCAGAACCAGCACAAAACCAGCCTGTCATCATCATGCATGGTTTGTTTGGAAGCAATCACAATTGGACTGCAATTAGCAAGAAAGTAGCTCGTGCCACGAGTAGACGGGTAATTAAAACCAATGGGTATCGAAATTATTATATCTCTACTACTAATACTATAGTGCAAATATAATCATAGCATTGCTTGATTGTATGCTGTTAATGTTGCTGAAGGGGTCGTTGTCGTATCACTATCAGGTACTACAGATATGTACCCTAGGTACGTATATGTATACAAAAGTGTACCAGACCTGTATCTTCTCAGCATATATGTAGTACCCTGTGTTTACATAAACGTACCTGCCCCTGAGATAGAGATCGAATGAAGACGGTCATGGAGGAGGAGTAGGGGGCAGGAGGAGGAGAGAAGGTGATGGAGTAGGGGGAGGAGGAGGAGGAGGAGGGGAAGGAGGAGGAGGGGAAAGAGGAGGAGCGGAGAAGGTGATGGAGATCGAATGAAGAAGGTCATGGAGGAGGAGTAGGGGCAGGAGGAGGAGGGGAGAAGGTGATGGAGTAGGGGGAGGAGGAGGAGGGGAGAAGGTGATGGAGATTGAATGAAGACGGTCATGGAGGAGGAGTAGGGAGCAGGAGGAGGAGGAGGAGGGGAGAAGGTGATGGAGTAGTTGGAGGAGGAGGAAGAGGATGAGCGGAGAAGGTGATGGAGATCGAATGAAGGTCATGGAGGAGGAGGAGGAGGAGAAGAGAAGGTGATGGAGTAGGGGGAGGAGGAGGAGGGGAGAAGGTGATGGAGTAGGGGGAGGAGGAG